CGACTGTACATAGATTCATGTGGTTAAAGACAAAATTTGGTAAGATGTGATGTTTTTAAATAATTTTTTAAAATAATAAGAAATATTTTTAAAAATTGAAAAACAAATATTAAAATTTAAAATTTAATTTTTAAAAATGTGTGGTCTCTCCTTTCTCCTTCCACTGAGCCTCACCCTATGCAGCCTTCTCTTCAACATTTCAATGGGATGCAGGTGAATTCCACTGCCTGTTTCTGCAAAAAGACAAATGTTTGGTGTCAACCCTCCTTAGGGTGTCACCTGTTGCAGGCTGCACCTCCCACATCTCTCTAGGGATGTCCCTGAGTAGTAGTAGTGGTAGTAGTAGTAGTGATAGTAGAATGTGACCTGAGGAATTCTTACATTATGATCTTATTTTCAATTTCCTCATTCCTTCCTCTGTCAAACAAACCTTAACATATTTAAATATGTCTCGAAAACAAATAGACTTCAGACTCTTTCCTGTCAGTAGCAGCTAGACGCCAGAAGTAACCAGAGCAATCCCAATGAATAATCATATTGTCATAGTCACAAAGGTCACAGGAGTGTAATGGGAGGAATTCAAAGAACAGAAGTTCCTGAGTCATCTTAATGGTATGATATTTTTGGTTACAGAATACATGAAACAGTCTGAGGAAAATTAGTTTTACCTTTTTCATCTCCACTGATAGTAGTCCATTTTTATTATTTATTGAATTTGTAACATGATTTATAATCCTCCTTTCCACTCCAGTTGGAGATATTCAAAGCAGCTAATAACAACAGGCAAGAAGTAAGTCAAGCTAATTATATAAAATCATTTGGAGTATCACAAATCAAGCTCTTGGAGGGGAAATTCTATGTGCTTCACCAAATATGTAGTGTAGATGCAATCTAGAGACATCTCAGAGAAAAAGAAATGGGTGAGAAAGTGAGGAGAGAAAGAGAAAAGTTTGAGAGAAATCAGGATTTTCCCAATAGGAGAAATGCACACAAACTATGAAGTACAGCACACCTGTGCCTTACGCGGGCTTGCTACCCATGCTTTAAGCTTATGCGGATGACAAGCCCTGCATGTTTTAATGATGTCCGCACCCGCAGCACTGCACACAGGAGCACACAGCCATTACCAACAACGGGACTTGAGGTCCCATGTTTTTTTTGCATACGTGGGGGGGGGGGTATACAAATAATAATAAGAATAATAAGAATAATAATAATAATTTATTTATAGCCCGCCTCTCTGCTCGGCAGTCGGGGTGGGTTACAGCAAAGGGCCCACTGTACTGTCTAAATAATTATAATTTTGCATGACAGCTTAACCATGTCTACTAAAAAGCGGTCCAAACATATTGATATTAAAGCACTTCTGGGATGCACTCAGGCATGGACTTGGGCAAGGCTTCAAGGGGCGAGTGTCATGTTGACATGGCCTGACTTTCTTGTGGGCATCAGTTTGACAGAAGGGCAGGAACTGTGCAGCCCTCCAGATGTTATCAAACTGTAACATCTATCCAGCATAACCAACAGTGGGAAGAATATTAGAAGTTGCGGTCCAACAATCCTTATCATTGGTTTAAGACAGGGGTAGGCAACCTTTTTGTGCTTGGGGCCGTTCCCGCGAAGTCCCTCCCGCCGCCGGGCTGAGGGGGGTGATGGTGGTGCGCGCGCGCGCGCGCACCACACTGCACACGCACCGTGCACGCGCTGCCGCCACCGCCACCACCACCGCTCCCCCCATCTCTGTACAGCTGCCTCCGCGTACATGCGAAGTACTCCTGCGCATGTGCAAATGCGTTGCGACCGCCATTTTGATTTCCAAAATGGCAGTCGCAGCACGCACGGCTGCATGGTGGCAAAAATGTGCGGCGGCAGCGTGCCGCGGTAGCGGCAACCTTCCGCCTGGGCCGGTAAGTCCAGGGACCTGGGCCTTAACCAGCCCCCAGGCCATAGGTTGCTGGTCCCTGGTTTAAGAGGATGTTGTCATAGGATCTCCTATGTTGTTGTTCTATGTTTTCAAGTCATTTCTGACTTATGGCGACCCTAAGGCAAACCTATCAGAGAGTTTTCTTGACTAGATTTTTTTTTCAGAGGAGGTTTGCTTTTGCCTTCCTCTGAAACTGAGAGAGTGTGACTTGTCCAAGATCACTCAGTGGGTTTCTATGGCCAAGTAGGGATTCAAACCTTGGTCTCCAGAGTCATAGTCCAGACACAAACCACTATGTCACACTGGCTCTCAATCTCCTATGTGAGGATGCATATTTTTCTTTGTGTATTAAGCTTCATTTAAAAATTAAAACTATTTTGGTTTCAAACAAATCGCCTATAAAGGTGTGGATTTCTTCATGAGTGGCTTTTGGTTATTCAGCTATGTGAGTGTTATTGGGTGTGTACTGAAAATGCCTGTTACTCATAGAACTGTCAGAACAATGTATTCTTTGTATAACTCTGTGTCACTGTTCAGTCATTTAATCTAACCTTGTTTATATACATGTTCTTCTGTGTATGTCACATGCAGACAAAATCACTGCAATAATAATAATATTTAAGTAAATTGCTTCTATATTGATGATAAACTGTCTAGACCGATTGCTAGAAAAGCAGAATAGAGAAAGTAACTGAATATAGTTGGCCCTCCATATCCACAGATTCTGCATCCACAGACTGAACCACCCACAGCTTGAATATATATATTTCCAAAAAACAAATCTTGACTTTGCCATTTTATATAAGGGACACAGTTTTACTATGCCAATGCGTATAATGGGACTTGAACATCCACAGATTTTGGTATCCATAGGGGATTTTGGAACCAAACCCCACTGGATACCAAAGGCCCACTGTATTCGAAGAAGTAAGTGTTATATTTGGACTGCAGTACTATAGCTGAGGTGTGAAGCTTGATGTGCTATCCCATGCTTTCCTATGTGAGTGTGGAAATATCTGGGGGTTCTTCAAGAAAGAAGAATCCTAGAACTACTACTCATTACTATGTAGCTACCCTGTCTTTTCTGCTTTAATGTCTTTTCTGTGGTGAAAAAACACACACACATAGAGTTGTGTGAAAATACAGTAAGGTTGCAATGTAATATGATGATGTCTAGAAACCCTACAAATATTGTGAATGAGGTAAGGCAATTTCACAACAAAAGCCTCATTTCTGAAAGCATGCAAAGAACGCCCAAGAACAGTTGTTGCTTCTTTCTGCCTTTGCAGATTACTACAGTTTAGTGGATTAGTGCTCAGAATGTTAATTCATAAATTTTTGTCTGCATCATTTCAGGGCTCATCCAGATTGATAAAGAAAGACTAGAAAGTCCCAGGTTTAATTCCTGTTCTTTTTAAATTTATTTTAGTTTGGCAATCCATATACATTTTGTTCATCCTAGAATATTTTCTGTTACTTCCCAGTACAATCAGAGAATTTTTATATAGGCTTCCCAGGTCAGTTTATTTTAACCAGCATAAAATCGGAAAGAACAGGAACAAAATCTGGAAGTTTTCTATCAGTCTGGATGCACTCTCAACTGCTGCACAGTATTGCATACAAAACACCAGATCAATATTATATAGTAAATTGCAATGAAGACCTGACTGGTTTAATTTTGCTAATGTTGCCCCCTCCCAATTTTTCTGCCTTTTAAACTATAATTCCCCATGACTTTCTATACCAGGTGAAATGTGGCAGCCTCATTTATCTCACCACATGCTCTGCCAGAGCTTCCAGATGTATATTCCTATTAGTTTTAGGTTCTGTCCTCCACCTTCACTAACCACGGTGACTTGCTCCACAGAAGAGAGGTTTCTAAAAACTCACCTATTGCTGTAAGCTTAGTTTATTCTGGATCTTTTACCATCAGGGTTCAGGTATACCTGCAGTTTCTCTCCATTCTTTACAGTGATTTAGGGAGCTTAACCATGATGTTCTAGGGCCTGGGTTGGGGAAATCCTTGCTGGGAACAGCAGCGACCTTCAGCCCGGCACCCTCTGTCACCAACCTCTGCTGTGTTCAAAAGCAAGGTTTTACCAAGGCACTGTTTACTTAGTTTCCAGAGTCACAGCAAACATGATTTAAAGCAACAGGTCTCTTTTATTCAGATAAGTTAATGCAAACACAATGCCAAGTGTCATTTGTGCTGCTTGAGGGTTTAGCCAAAAGGCTTAGGCAAGCCAAACAGACACTGAATAAATGTCTGGGTGAGGACCTGAAACCTTTTGCGTTGACATGTGACAGCTACAAAATGACGGGGTCAAATAGTAACGAAAACCAGCATGGTGTAGTGTATGGATTCTGGAGACCAGGGTTCTAATCCCAGCCTGGACATGGAAATTGGGCAAGTCACACACTCTCAGCCTCAGAAAACCCTGTGATAGGTTTGCCTTAAGAGTCGCTGTAAGTTGGAAACAAAGGTAAACAACAACAACGAATAATAAAGTGGTTTATAGTGGGGCAAAATATATGCAAACATTTATTTATTTATTTATTTATTTGGAGTATATATACCTCGCTTTGCAGCCACATAGCAGCTTACAAATGGTTAATTAGACATTTTCCTGCCCTCAGGCTTACAATCTAAAAAAGACAAGACACAAAAGGAAAAGGGAAAAGGAGAAGAGAATTTATAAATAAATAAATAATATGCAAAATTACTTAATGTAAAAGCAATGTGTTTTACTCACTTGTGTTTCAAACACAGTTAAGAATTATTACAATTTTCTTTCTTTCTTTCTTTCTTTCTTTCTTTCTTTCTTTCTTTCTTTCTCTCTGTTAAAAATTCAATACCTGAACATTGGTGTTGACTAAAAGCTTTTCAGCTCAAACCAATACTGTAAGTGGCCCAAGCTAGACCGATTCCTTTGAGGTCTGGCTGATTTTATATTCATTCTGTATGGTGTCTGAACAGGAGAATGTTAAGCATCTGTAGTGTTATCAAAATCGACAGCATAACAGCAAGGATGACACTACTACTCCCCAAACATCTATCTTTGGGCAAAAATGGGCTATGGCTTTGGCCTGCATCCCTTTAAAATTCTGGAGATGGTGTGAGTGGGGTGAGGCTCATTGGGAAGTAGAGGCCTCAAGCTTTTTTTTTTTTTTATTAAATTTTAACATTTAAATCTTTTTTTTAATATAATTTTAGTATTTTATTTAAAAACTTCACATCTTACCGAATTTTCACTTTAACCACATGAAACTATGGAGATGTGATGTACATGTGCATATGATATTGTAATTTAAAGGTATAATTTTAATTTTGCTAGTGGTTTATGCCACAACATAAAAAGGAGCCCTGGTGGTACAGTGGTTAAACACTGGTACTGTAGCCACAATGTTGTAAGTTTGATCCTAGAGGAAGGGTCCAACGTTGACTCAGTCTTCCATCCTTTCACAAGTTAGTAAAATGAGTACCCAGTTTGTTGGGGGCAATGGGCTTACACACTATAAACTGCAGCAGTTTACAGTGTGTAAGCCAATTGCCCCCAACAAACTGGGTATGGCAAGTACATTTCTATACTGCTTATATACACACACACTACAGTTGGCTCTCCATATCCACATACTCTATCCATGGATTCAACCATCCATAGTCTGAAAAGATTTATAGATGGATGGATGGATAGATAGATTCCAAGCAAACCTTGATTTTGCTATTTTGTATAAGATATCATTTCCCTGTGCCTATGTATATAATGGGACTTGAGCACCCACAAATTTTGGTATCCATGGGGGTGATGGAGAGTCCTGGAACCAAACCCAGTGGATACCAAGGGCCCACTACATTACCATTACATTCAGTGATATATGGGGATTATGATTTATGAGTAACAACCGCACAAAAAAACATTACTAAGGATTCTATATGGTGCTGTATGGGAAGATGTCAATGGGGAAGTGACATGAGGTACCAACCCTAGTGATGCCACTGAACATAATGTAATGTTACAGTAATGTGGGAAAGATGCCAATCACAGTAACACAACAGAGTAAACAAATACATGAGATAAGCACACCCTGCAGAGGGAACTGGATAAGAAGGATGTGACAAAAATAAATAAATCTGACTGGATCCTGAGGGATAAGGTACATCATGGATCAATGCACCATTTGAAAGTCATCATCCTATTATTCATCTGTTTCTATAAACACTTGCCAATACTTTACATCAGTACCCCAACCCCTTTCTTTTCATCTAGGAACTATTGGTGCTTCTTTCATAAGAGGTGACACCAGAACCTGAACACAATATTCCAAATGAGTGCTTCATTGTTCAGTATGCTGTCATTATATTATGTTCTGGATTATTTCTGAATCCCTTTATTAGTGAACCCACACATCTTATTTGCATTTTTGTAACAAAACAAAAAAAAGTATCACAACTACTGCAATGTGAGAGCAGCAAAGATGTTGACTGGATTGATTTTGCCCTTGCTCACTTGGCTGTACAAGCCGCTGCAACTCCAAATGACTCATTCCTGATTTGTGCCAATGAAGCAAGTGGCAAGTGGGGAGCCAGGCCCACTGCAGAAACCTTTTCATTAGCATAAGAAGTAGCTTAAGGGTAATTATTACATTTAGCATGCTGCTCTTTTACAACAAAGATAACTCATTGATGGAGTGCAGGGAGGGATGATTTATGCTGTCAGTGGTCTTCCAAAGGAAATTGTTGAATCCTTGCAAATTCTTGTTGCTCTTTTCCTTTTGTATACAAGGCAAGCAGGGTCTAACTCATCTCTTTAATGGAGCCTTTCAGGCACATGGATAGACTTTTCTATGTTCATCAGACTTTGTTGTTGGACCTTTATTCAGGAGTGTGTGCAGTTACCTAGAAGTCAGTAAACTGTAGGGATCCAGATGTTCCTGCACTCCAGTTCCCATCAGGCCCAGCCAACATGGCCAATGTAATAAATATTAGGCAGTGTAGGCCAACAATATTTGGAGGGCCACAAGTCTACAATGCCATCATATGTCTCATGACAGAACTCTTCCCCCTGAATGCTCTAGTTCTCTAGTTCAGGGGAGCAAAGTTCTCTGCTGAAAAGCTCCAGCTCTGTAGTCCTCAAATTTTTGTCTGCCTGGTGTTATGGACTTCAGCTCCCAGAAGCCTTGGCCAATCGTCAGGGATTATGCAGCTTAACCTCCAAATATCTGGAGGCCCAAAGATAGAAGTCTAATGGACTAGGGGCCTCTAGCAGAGAATTCAAAGTGCTTTGTCAAACTACAAATCTCAGGATTCAAAATGATAAATCCATAATAGTTCAAGTGCTTCTTAAGATATGTGATGTGGCGGATTGGCAAGTTTTATTTCTTCATGTGTCAGGGACTGGATTAATATTTGTTCCTTTGAGCTAGAACTATTTCTTTCTTGCTTGGAAATTTATTGAACACCAACAGGCAGTTCCAGGGAACACTAGTCTTGCTTCTAGTTGCTCCATTGGTAGTTAGCATAGCAGATAATAACAACCAAACAGAGACTGCTACATGAAGGCTTCCTTCTTCTACAGTGGTCATATTGCTTTATTGTTCACACAAAACTGAATAATCAAGTTTAGTAAGTCTTTTGCAAGTAGAGGAATACATTTAGAGCCAAATTAGATGTGACAGGACAACCACAGGTATTTTAGTTACATCTTCACTTTCTAATCCACTTCCAGGCCCAATTCAAGATTTCTGTTTTGGACCTTTAAGGCCCTTCATAGCTTGGGAACAGGTAGAGAAAATAATTTAATGAAAAACTACCAAGAGTGCAGGCTCAAATACCCTTAAAGCACCAGATCCCATCTTATCTTGGAAGTTAAGGAGGGCCAGCTCTGGTTAGTACTTGGTTAGTTTCCGGGCGCAGTACAAGGTGTTGGTTTTGACCTTTAAAGCCCAACATGGCTTGGGTCCATCTTATCTTAGGAACCGCCTCTTCCCGTATGATCCCCCCCGCGCACTTCGATCAGCTGGGAACAATCTGCTTCAACAGCCAAAGACGAAATTTATGCAGACCTCCCAGAGG